GATATGACAAGTTCTGAACTGGTGGGTAGAGGTCGACTTCATTTTCATCAGCCACCCAGAGATCTGAGTAATTCTTCAGGAATTCCATTGGCTTCAGCAAATTGATATTGTGAAATGCTTCTTACTCTGTGCAGTGTTTCAAATTCTTACAGAGTATGATAATTAGAGTGCCAACAATTTAATCTGGGAATATAAACACTGTATTATTTAACTGTGAGCATTTCATGTTTCCCTGTTCTAGGTGCCTTACAAAAGAAGACAGAAAAGCATACAAGATAATTGAAGTACTACAAATGACAGACATTTTATCTTTCTAAACATAATACCAGATACCCGACTTGCAGATTTGATAGCATTCATAATTCCTTGCTCTTACAATCACTTGGTTACACAAATTCAGGACCTTTGCAGAAAGTAATGCGTTTTAGAAAATACAATCCTTTTTCCATGACAGATAACACATTCAATATTTTAAATATTTAGATAATCCAGATCAAACATTAGCCAGGCAGTTTAGCACAAGGCACTTTAAAATATGAGGTTCTGTAGGTTAAAACTTTCACTTTCCCTTGGCATCAAAGTTTGCAGATAGTTTTTACCTTAGCATCAACACTGAATGCCCTACTGCCCTTTTCACATCATTCTTCAGAGCATGTGTTATAATACTTAATAATCATCCAAAACTCCATCACTAGCTTTTTTTGAATGATGCTGTTGTGTATGCTAGTTTAATACAACTTCTAGCTATCCTTTTGGGCAAAGGACAGCATGAAAATGAAAGAGATCATCTCTTTAAGAATACTTTAGTTGCCAACAGAAAAGAAAAATATTTTATAGAAGCCCTGAAAATTTATGGATTTTTTAAAATCTCATTTAAGAAGTTACATATTTCACTTAATGCTGTTGCTCAATGGAAATAAAAAGAAATTCTTGTAGAAAAGACTTGCCCATAAATGAGACAGTTGAACAGAAAGAGTTGTGTGTCTATGAGTTATAGTTCCGGACTGCTTATACTCTGCCTTAAAGCTGTGTATTCTTTCTCTGTGCTTGTGCAATGCAATTATATTAGAAGGTCCTCTTAAAACTGGGTGATCTATTGGTTTAGGGAGCTAAAGATTAATTCCAGATGTAGTCATGCTCTTCTAGCCCTTCAAAAAGTAACTACTGCACCATCTGTTTTGTAATAGACAATTTCAAAGCGTGCCAAGGGGAATGTTAAATACATTGGTCAGATGGCCACATATACCTCACACACAGGAATCCTAGAGGTCATAGTACCTCAGACAGATTCATATTTTCATGTTTTTATCTCCATTGTTCCACTATGGAAACTCAAGGAACAGCTCTCCTTCCTCCCAAAACAGAAAGGAGATATTTTCCAGATTATTACCAGTGTTGACATGTATGAGGCCAAATTCAGACCTGAATTCAGTGGAATAACTGAAATTAATGGTAACCTATTTCATATACCTGCCTGACTCTTAGATCCTTGTAAATTATTCCAAACAGTTCTGGGTTTTGGGGTTTGTTTGGGGTTTTTTGTTTGTTTGTTTTGTGGTGTGCATTTGTTTGTTTGGTTTTTTTGTTTGTTTTCCAAGTAAGGTCAGTAGCAGGAGGTTCCTTCTAAACTGACTTCAGACTTGGCTGGTTGCCCAATATAAATGAAGGGTGCAACAGGTAATGAAGGCTTATTTCAGGTCATGAATGATAATTTTTATTTTTCCTGGGTATTGCAGGAAGCTTGAAATAAAGAAATTGTCTCCATTTTTCTAAACCCAGTGTTATGTATCAACATCTACATCTCATGTGTATAAAAAGAAGCGCTCGGGTCTAGCATCAACATGACCTAAATTCTTTACATCAGCAAAACTGGAGCAAAATACATTCTCTGAATGTTTCCCAAGTATAAATCTGAACTTCAGAGCAGTAACTCATGATTTATACCAAACAGTCCTGAGAAAAGGTCTAAAATGAAAACAAAAGGAAACAGAAAATCTGCTAGAAATTAGACAATCACAATCTTGTGCAGTCCTGGAGAGATATTTTTTTCCTGAAGTGACATTAGGTAAATCATTGGCAAAAAGAATTAAAGATTAACAACATGCCTTCAGTTCACTCCTCTTTGGTTTTTCCAGCACATCCAGTCATATTTTATACCAATTCTTGTACTAAGTTATTACAAAAGTATCTTAGGACTAGCAGACTACTGTACCCCCTTCAGTTTTGCTGAGTTTGCTGTGGTTCTCTCCATTCAACATCACAGGAAGAATCAGTGCCTTAGACTATAAGCTCAGTGTCTGGGTATACTACAACTACGTCTCAAAGTTCAAAGTAAGAAAGTAACTAAGAAAGAAATTAATAGGAATAACGGCTCCTTACCATTCTCAGTATTACTTGAACTGAATTTTCTTAAGCAACTGGCAGTTTAGGTAGTGTAAGGGAATTCCACACATACAGTAAGATTTGCACTTTTTCAGTATTAAACATTATTATAACAAGGAAAAGTTGGGAAGTGGAGCAGGACACTGTTCTGGACAACTTCACCACAGCTTTGGAAATTTAAGACATCCAAGAGAAATACATTTTGAGAGGCTAATAAACATACTGGTGTGGAAGGATACATACACACCTTACAGCTACAGCAAAGGTACCATTGTTTAGGACAAGATTTAATTCAAAATAATAGACTTAATAATAATAATAATAACAATAACAATAATAATAATAATAATAATAATAATAATAATAATAATAATAATAATAATAATAATAATAATATTTCATGCAAATCAAGAAGTGTAGTTGGCCCACCTCTTGCTGAGCTGATGTTCCTGGACGGTAAGACCTCCAGCACAGAGGTATTTAGGGAGAACTTTGTTTTAGAAATTTTTTGTTACACCTCAGCTTAATTCCTTTTATAAAGAACTTTTAAATACTTCTTGTTTTTAAACATAGTTAATAGATTATAAGAGTCACAAACCCTACTCTATTGCTGTACTTTCTAGGCACAAATTCTGCCTTTAACTAAGTCATACAACACACGGTTGAAGTCTTATCCACCTTTTGAAAAATACTCAAGAATGGGCTTAGTTGAGACATTTGGTGGAGCTCAAAGAGAGAAAATTCAGAAATTCACTCTTATCTCCTTATTCCATAGTTGTCCTAACTCTAAACTCAACCCTAAATGTACAGATAAATACTTCAAAGCTCACTGTTTTCTGGGCTGACAGGTTAATTTTCTGCAGCTGAGCCCAGTACTCCCCCACTTCACTCTAAGGACACCTGTGGTATATCTTTTGCATGGGAAAAATGTGCCAGCCACTTGCTAGCTACTGGTTGGGTCATACATACCATGTCAGAGTGATCTATTTCATTTAAGATGTATAGATTCAAAATTACACAGCCCAGAGAAAAAAGAAAGCAATTATTTTATTCACTTGACAGAAGCTGTCTTCAGGAGAGTTCAATTTGTAACAGTAGTTAATCATTCATAAAAGAATACAGTTTTAAAAAGTAACTTGTTTCACACAGAAGAGGATTAAGACACAATGTATGAACTTGTGCAATACACATGCTCCGCAGAAACAATTGTATTTCTACCGCACATTTTTTGGAAAACCTTATCACTTTAACTTGCACTGTGTTAGTAAACTCAGAGGCAAGAATTACTACACAGAAAGATCTGCTTCCTTTCTCAGCCACCTTTTGTAGTTATATGAGGATTTTTTTTTTTTTTTTGGCATTGTTGCATCCAGCAAGGATGGATGCTCATGTACAGAGAAGGACAATGAAGGGGGTGAAGGGACAGGAGCACAAGTCATATCGAGAGCAGCTGAGGGAGCTGGGGGTATTTCACCTGGTGAAAAGGAGGCTCAGGGGTGATCTTATTGCTCTCTACAACTGCCTGAAAGGAGGTTGTAGCTAGGTGGGGATTAGTCTGTTCTCCCAAGTAGCAAGTGACAGGACAAGAGGAAATGGCCCCAAGTTGTGCCAGGGGAGGTTTAGATTAGATATAAAGAAAAATTTCTTCACTGAAGAGTGGTTAGGCATTGGAACAGTCTGCTCGGTGAAGTGATAGAACCCTGCAAGGGTTCAAAAAATGTGTGAATGTGGCATCCAGGGATATGGACCAGAGGTGAACACAGTGGTGATGAGTTAACTGTTGGCCTCTTATGTAATCTCAGAGGCCTTTTCAAAACTTAACTATTCAATGATTCCATGACTACCTGCCCAAATAACATTTACCAACCACAAATGCTGTGTCACTGATAATGACTTCAGAATTCCCTCTGACTGGATGAGCACCTCCATTAGCGTTGTGAGGTTAGAGGTGTCACCAGACAAACACTAGAGAAACAACCCTGGCCACCAACTGGAGTGATTCGGGACACAGCTGTGCCCCGTAAAACAACTTCTTTGTGTCTCTCGGCAGCATGCCACTGTCCCTCCCTGATGAGAGCCAACATTCTGTCCTTCCACAGAATCACCGAATATTCGGAGATGAAAGGGACCCACAAGGATCCTGGAGTCCTACTCTTCAGCTAATGGCCTCTGCGGGGATGGAACCCGTGACCTTGGTGTTATCAGCATCACGCTGTCAACAGAGGCGCAGTTGTCCCCCGGGACGCCCAGGGAATCGCCTCGCTGGAACAGGCCTTAACCCTGAAATCCCGTACCAGCACTATGACGGATCCGTGCCTTTCACACGCGATATACACGTGCCATGTGCGTTTAGTGGGTGTTTAACACGGGCAAGGCCGTGGACGCGCAATGTTTGCAATCAGTCGGAACCCCGATGCGCGCAGAGGTTCCGAGTCCATCCGAAAATCCGGCTCGTAAAGTCCCGTCCCCAAAACAGCAAGCTGAGTCTGGGGGCAGAGCCGAGACTTCCCGCTACCCACCGTCTCCCACCTCCGGCAGCCTCCCGCGCGGGGCAGGGCCCGGCCCCAGGGCCGAGCTGAGAGGAGCCGGGCCGCGCTCAGCGCAGCTGGGCCTCGGCGCTCCCGGGCAGGCCGCAGGGGGCGGGCCGGGCCTAGCGCAGGCGCCGCCGGGGGCTCGCTGCGCAGGGCTGCTGGGCCCGGGACGGCGGCTCCATGCGCTGCCAGGTAGGTGCAGCCTGCTGGAGCCCCGGGGAGCGGCGGCCCGGCCGAAGCCGGGAAGGATGGCGGGGCTCCCGCGGCCCCTCGGCAGCGGCGCCGGACGGGTGAGGCCTGGGCGGGGGAGCGGGGCGCGGGTCTGCGGTCACTCACCGCCCCCTCCGCCTTCCCGCACCCCCGTCTGTCCCTACTCTCCGGACGGCCGGGACAGGAGGTCGGCACCGAGAAGAGCCTGGGAAAGCTTTTCCCGGGGCTCTGGTTCCGGCCGCGTGTTGGTGGCTTTTGTGGGGGCGGCCCCGCGCTCTGAGCGCTCTCTGTTCCCCGAGTAGGTCTCGGTGCTGTATTTCGCCCGGAGCGCGGAGCTGGCGGGGCTGCGCAGCGAGATCCTCTCGGTGCCACAGCAGATCACCTCTCTGCAGCTCTGGGAGGAGATCGTCAAGGCCCACCCCAGGTACCCAGCAAGTTACCAATGAGGTGCACAGAACCCGTGGTTGGATTTTTCCCCATGTTTTTTCCTTTTTTTTTGGTAAATACAAATTCGGCATTTAGAGTCTAGTTAAAATGTGTAGCAGTACTTTGACAGTGCAAAACTAGTGACCTGCACCAAGCTTTTTGTGTTTTGCACAGTCAGAAAGGCTGTAGCTTTATGTATACACAAAGAAAGCCCAGGTCTCAATAACAGATGTACCCAGAAGCTGAGTCTGAGTGGTATATGTGGCCCATTGTCCAGGAGAGCTGTGTTGCGGCAACCTGAAAACTGAACTATGTTTATTAACCTGTGGAGAAGGTGAGATGTCTCAAGGATAAAGCACAACCAGGACAATAAATAAGAAATAAATGGTAGTGTGCAGGTGTTTTCAGTCTCTTAGGTTCAGCATTAGGAAGAAATTATTCACAAAAGGGGTGATTAGATACTGAAGTAGGATAGGTGGTGGAGTCACCATCCCTGAAGGTGTTTAAGGGAAGAGTGGACATGGTGCTCAGTTCCGTGGTGTAATTGACATGGTGGTGTTCGGTCAAAGGTTGGACTTGATCTCAGAGGTCTTTTCCAACTCAACTGATTCTGTAATTATCTTTAGCTGTACAGTTAGCCATTGGTCTGATCTTATGGCACACTCTGGAAGACAGATCAGGAAGGAAACAGAAGCCTGCACAGGCTTCTAAGCCACTCAACCCTGCCTGACACAGAAAGTAGATTCAGACACTTTCAACCTCCTCTGTTTTGAAAGATACCACTGTAGGTTGCATTTCACAGGGAATCTGGTCCTGAGAGAGTTTTATGTTTGTGCTGTAAGGGCTTCTGCAACACTGGTGCTCCTTGGGGGTGTCAGCAGGAATGTCACCTTGTGTTAGGGCTGAGGAAAGGTGCTTAGTTCTGACAAGAATGAGTCTGATAGACTAAGTTGCAACACCATTTTGGAAATGTAAACTGAAAGGGGTAAAAAAAAAGTAAGGTTTAACAGGTTGAGGTCCTCAGGATTTAGTGCTGAATGCAGTGGAATTTCTGTAACCCTGGAATTAGGTGTCAAGGCACAACCCTTCTTTAGTTGATTACTCTAAAAGGCTGTGAGAATAATGAACTATTTAACAATGGTATCTGTTTCCAGGTGAGAAGCTCTAACAAAATGCTAGGCTCTAACATAGAGCCTTCTCCTCTCAGAAAACTGAGACTAAATGTGTTTTAGTGGAGGAGGCAGTAAGGCATGTGTTTATTTTACTTTGCAGCCTGTTCCTCTGTGTCATAGGTATCAGCAGCACCGTTGGTTGGTTTGTCATATTTTGTCAACTTTGTCCTTTTATGAATCATGACTTGGGGCAGTACATCTTGCATTTGCAGTTACTTCACAGTGGCTTTCTTGAAAAACGCTTCTGTTCCTTGCTTTTATGGAAAAACTCAGTATAATTTTAGGGCACTGACCACAGACTTCTATTCACATTGCTAATGGATATTCAAACTGCAGCTTTAGCATACTTGACAGTGCTCTTCTGTTCCACCCAATTTCCCCAATGAATTTGCTTACAAGTGACATTAATTAGAGCCCATCCTTCTAATGGGCACTTCAGTTTCATGGGTATGCCCACTTCTTCAGTGACTTGCTTTACTTTCATGCAGTCACTTCCTTCAGTTTGCCTATGAGTCAGAGCTACTGTGTTTTGCTTAGTCTGTGCCTTGCCTACTTTGGTCTATCTGGCTGGTAGGAAATAAAATGATTTTTACTTGGACTCACACCATATAACATAAAATGTTGGCATTCTTTTTCCTGGTTTCCATTCTTACTGCCATTGCCTTCATGCTTGCTGTGTAATTGCAGTCATTAAAGTCATGAAAGTGAACTCCCTGCCTCATGATATCCAGAGCTGTGTACTCTCACATCAACATCTCAAAGATGTGAAATAAAAAAAATATTTAGAAGGTCTGCTAAAAGACACTTCACATCTGCCCTCTTATTTCTGTGGCCACTCCTTACCAATAGCAGATTTCAGACCTGTAAGTGCAAAAGACCCAAAGCCTCATGAACCCTAGCACACACAACAAGAGCAGCTCTTTGACCACTGAGTCTTCATGAGATCTCATGAACATCCCCGAATGCTTCTTGGTGTGTAAGAAAATTACTCAAGTCCTTCCAGACTGTAACAGGGCAGTATTTACTTCTAATCCCAGACTGGATGGTTGCTACCTCTTGAGTTACTTTATTACAAGCTGCTGCAGTGGGTTTGATATACATTGGTTCATTCTGATACAGGCCTCTGACAAATCCAATTCCTGACTTTTGAAAATTATACTGCGTTTGTTTCTCCTTAGCCTCTACAAGAAAACCGAAGAATAGGAGGTGGGTGTTTGTTGTATTTTTGACAGTGTCTTGGAAGCAAAGTTGTGTAAGTCTCAGTGGTTTTTACCTCAATTGCCCTAGACTGTGCACCAGTTTGTTGTTTAATGAAATCTCATGGATAAATGCAAACACTCTTATTTAGAAACCTATTTGTGCTCCTGCCAATCCCCCTCAGGCTTGCTGTCATCCGGGATCAAGTCGTTTTTGCTGTTCGGCAGGAGTACGTGCTTCTTGGAGATCAGCTCCTGGTCCTGCAGCCTGGAGACGAGGTTGCTATCATCCCACCAATTAGTGGAGGCTGAACCTGCCCAGATTCTGTTGAGTAGGTATCTTGCTTAGTTTCTATGCTACAGAGCATAATCCTGTGCTAAAATAATCTCCTGAATTCTGTATCATGTTCCAATAATTTTTTTTTTGTTTAGGTCCAGACATGTGATTGCCATTCTCTTCCTCCACCCCAGTACTATTTTGAGAGAGCCTAATGTGTGTTTCCATCTAGAAAGTACAGTTGTGCTGACCAGAAACTATAAGCCAGTGCACCAGTAAATGATTAACACGTATTCAGTAAATGGAAGACAATTCCCAGAGAGGTCAGGGATTGTTTTGAATTTGGGTTTTAGGTCTTGGTATTCCTTGCTGCTTGTTTCTGGCTTGCCTAGATAAGATAATAATGAACAATCTTCTGCCACTTTTTTAACAGAAAAGATAAAACAGAAAAATAATTGACTGCTGCTTAAAATTTTTGCTTGTTTATTTTTTTGCTGTTAAAGGAACAGGTGTGCTTAGAATAGCTTAATTTCTTTGCCTGGTTTCAAATGTCATTCATATTTACTGCAGCTTGTTCCATTGCTGTTGGTCAAAATACTTCTCATTCTTCTCATTCTTAGGTGATCTGATGATTGGTTTCTACTCAGAAAAGTTAAAAGCGTCTCCATTGTGACTGAAACAGATAGATACTGTGTGGTCCTGAATGTCCTGGAGAGCATATTCAACTTTAGGATTGGAAATCTAATCCGTGTTTATCAGAAATCTGTTTTAAACTGTTTGATTTCAGAATAAGAAAAGTAGGAGGGGCTGACAATATGACTGCAGATTTATCAGCATTACACAGTGGTCCATGCTGGTTGATTGTATTATTAAACCATGGCCTCAGACTAATTATAGTTTTGTCCCAGATTTTGGGACAGAAAGACTTTGCTGTCAGAAAAGAACACATATACATTAAAAACCAGCTCACTGCTCGATATTTGCAGTTAATATTCTCTCTGTGAAACTGATGAGAAGTGAATTTGATGTGTAAACTGGTCTCTCAGGGGAATAGATGGTGCATGTTTTTTGCATAAATTAGATAAAAAGCAGTTGGCTGATGCTAGTATCTTCAGAAACAACAACAGAATCTGTTTGGTTTCAACTTTTCTAGTGAGATATGGATGAAAGTGAAGATGTGCCAAAAGATTTTATCAAGCTCAAGTCTGCAAAGCTCTCTGTAGATGAAGTGTCAGAACTGGTCGTTTCACCATACTGTGGGGCAGTGTCTCTGTTCATTGGTAAGTTTAATATTTATGAGCTGGATCTATGGGTGTGTTAATGGTCTAATAAATGGAATGTAGTTTGTCCACATCCTAGACTTGGGCTTCTCAAATAAATCAGTTCCTGGTCTGAACCCAGGATGTTTAGAAAATATGTTCTGAATTATTAGAGCAAGACTATGGCAGCTATTAAACAGCTGCACTGGGATTGTGGTGAGAAGCTTTCATGTTGGTATGGCTATCATAGGACTGAATGGAGCAACAGCTTGAGTACAGAACCGCTTGGGAGGTATTCTCTCTATCCTCTTGGACACAGCTTGTTCAAGGTGTGAACAAGCATAGAATATTGTGGCTGTGCAAATCACATGCCCACACCTATATGCGAGGTTCTGCAACTCAGGTCTTAGTTGAAAGAGAAGTACTGTTTTATCCATGAGCTGGTGAAGGTAAGGTGATACTCTCTCCTGTGCTTAATGTGCATGGCACACATCTGAAACACCTTTGTGCTTAAACCTGAGTGCTACTGGGCTTCTAAATACTGAGCATTTAAAAATTGCATGGGCAAGTGCAATAGTAACAGCACCTTAGCAGTTACCACAGAAGACGTTCCAGCCTTGAGCATTATGGACTCTGGGCTTGTATAGTGTGTAAACTAAATTATTCCTTATATAGTAAAGATTTATCTTGTTCAAATAATCTCTTTATGCAGCCATATTTAGGAGAGATTGTTTATATTTGCACAGTGCTGACCTTGACCATATCAAGAGATCCTAGGTTTTACTCAGTATTAATACATTATATATTTTATGTAATAAATACCTAGTATATATTATAAAGATACAATATATATTTATTTACTCAGTGCTTTTGGTTGATAAATCATTTTTATCTAGGTACCACAAGAAACAATTTTGAAGGGAAAAAAGTGATTCACTTAGAATATGAAGCATATACTTCAATGGCAGAGACTGAAATAAAGAAAATCTGCAGAGATGTAAGACAGAAATGGCCTTCAGTCAAGCATATTGCAGTGCACCATAGACTTGGGTATGTATGTCCAGACCCCATCCTTCTGTAAGTGGAATATTAATCCTTGTCTGGTGCATGGCAGTGCTTACATAGTTGCAGGACCTATGGGAGTATTTGGAAACTGTAATGCAGTGTTTATTGGTAGCGTTTGCTGCAGTCTCCATTGAGCCTTGTAGGATCCTTGATGCTGGTTTCATGTTTTGAAAGTGGGGAGAAGGGATTGTAATTTCACTCTGGAGAACAGGAGGCTTTTGGTTTGTTTTGTCTTCATTTCTAAAAGATATGACGTTGTCAGCACTTTCTTTTTATTCTCTCTTCTATGGAGGTGCTTCAGAATATCCTTGTTGTCAGATTTAAGTCAATTTATGCCTTAAAAAAATCTGCAGGCTTAGGCTATGGGGATTGAAGAGGCACAGTAACTGCCAGACAGGCTTGCAGGAGAACCTCCTGGTTTTGAGTCTTGGATAAGCTTTTCTCCTTAGGTTCAAAACATGGAATACTAGGATCTGACATACTCTTGAGCCTTCCCCGTTCATCAGGTTTCTCATTGAAATCAGTAGGATTTGCAGAGTCTGAAGGAGCTTCAGAGGTGATCACAAAGGGTAAGATAGAAGGTCTGAAGGGTAGTTTCCTTAGATTTCCTCTCTAGCCAACAGAGAGAGTGGCTCTCTTGAGGGCAGCTCAAAGCATTTAAGCTGAGATTTCTACCTGTGAACTGTTTGCTGGAGGAGTCTTGCTATAGAGGGAGAACTGGGAGGCAGCTTTTGGGAATACTACCATTGTGAGGAGCAAAACAAAACCTTGTGCTTCTTCTGTTAAGTTTGGAAAACGACACATTGAATAGTAAACTTCAGAATTTAAAATCAGAGTTCACCAAAAATTTTCATTGCAAAATCTGCACAGTGTGAGACACTTAATTTCTTCTTTCACAAATTCTTGTGCAAACTGAGATGATTTCTTAGGTTTCCAGATAAGAACTAACTGTTCTAACTTGTTAATTATTTAGCCAGCTTTCAGTGAGTTTCCTATGTATTGTTGCAAGTTAACAATTTTCCCCTCTTAACTCCATAGGCTCAATTTAAAAAAAGAAAGAATGGAAGAAAAAAGCTTATGTCTGGTGGGTTTATTTGTTCTAAAGTGTGGAATTTTAACATCTGGTACTGATTTTGGTTGTGGTTTTCTTTCTTTTAAAAAGTGTATAATCTTCTGGACGTGGTTTGACACTTGCTCAGTATGAATGAGTCAGGAGAGCATGTGGCCAGAACACTGACATGACATGGCCACAACTTTTGGGTGCTCTTGATGTTAAGTGTTAGCTAAAGCTGCTGTTCTTCCTTCTCCCTAGTGTGGTTCCAATAACTGAAGCAAGTGTAATTATTGCTGTCTCCTCTCCACATAGAGCAGAATCCCTTGAAGCTGTAGAGTACTGCATCAATACCTTAAAAGCGTCTGTACCAATATGGAAAAAGGTATGTTTGGGGTCAAAATTGAATTTAGACCTCTGCTGGTCTTAGACATCTGAGCTATCTAAGAAGCACTACAGGCGGCAGTTGCTCTTGATGGCTTGTCAGTGTCTGGCAGCAGTGAGTTTCCTCTAATGCAGCCAGGCCCATATGTGGCATGTAGAACACTGGAAAGGCTCTCCTGTACCTCTCCCTTCCAGCTCCTTTTCCTTTTGAAGCCAGCCTGGGGTCAAAGTGAAGGAGGCCTGCGTTCTCCTCTTTTGAGTTGCAAAACTCAGTTTTTCACAGGCTTGTGGAAGAACTTTGAATCAGCTATGCAGTTCTTAAGTAAAAGGAGCATTTCTTGTCTTTCTCTTTTTCCCTCATTGCTGTGGCCTTGAGAAAGCGCAAAGCATTAAGCAGTAGCACACAGTGAAGGGATGAACAGAGGTCCCAGAGTTGGTATGGGCACACAACACTGTGTGGAGAAATTAGTCCGAGTCTAGAAAGAGCCTCATTGTATAACCACAGTGTTGCATGTAATGAGCATTACCTCTGCCTTCTCTCCCAGGCAGATCTTGCCATGTGGTCAACAGTGATGTTATCTTGATTTTATGTTGTCTGTCACTTTTCTGACACCTCTTTCAGGAGACAAGTAATCAGGGTCTCAGAGCCCTGAGGTTTTTTTTTTGATATTGACATTCTGTGTTCCACGTAAATACTTTTCTTAAAATGATGGTACAGTAGCTACCACGAGTGCTGTGTACTCTGCAGTTTTACATCACATCTTCTAGATTTCTTTGTTGAATTGACTTCAGTGTAGATGGGCCCTTTTAAATTTAATGGGTATCAGCCTGAGGTTCAGCTAAGTTAGTATATTCTAAGGGTGCTGCCCTCTTTTCTGCGTGCCAGCCAAGTGCTGTGTAGTCCTGTTGTGATCAGTAAATAATAGCGGGATGGCTGTTGAGTTATTTGGCATGGCTTGTGGCTGTATGTAGCAGATTCTCACAATATTGCCCATTCTTTGTTTATATTTGCAGGAGATTTATGAGGACGAATATTCTTGGAAAGAAAACAAGGAATGCTTTTGGGCAAATTCAGAAAAATAACTGTACTCTTTTAAAAATAAAGTCTTACTCTTCCAAATGAGCATATTTACCTTTGAATTGTTTTTACAGAGAATCTATGTGTTTTTAAACAGTTATAATAGATGTTTGAGTAATTTCATTTGGACTGAGTGATATGGATGAGTATTAATTAGGGTTTTAAAGTGTTCTTGACTATCCTTTGAAATCACCTTTTTGTGCATTTTAACATAGAGGCAGTTTTTAAAACAATCTTCCCTGAAATTCCTGGTAGCAAGGTATTTAGACTGCTCTGACATATATACTACTCTACTGTTTTTACGTTGGTAGTCTGTGTCCTCTGTCTGCATTGGAGGTCACTGCAGGACAACTGCATTTTTTTTAATCTTAAAAATGTCCTGACAGGTTTAATTTTATATGACTGTAGAATCAGTTTGCAAGCTTTATTCTATTTTGACATTCTTGTAACATGAAAGCTACTTGAAGTAGATGAAATATTTTGGTACAGATGAAGAAAATACAAACTATGCCCCAGAGTTATTAACTTTTTAATTGTGGTTGTGTTCCAGTAGCTCTGTCTCGCAGAAACATTTTTACTGTGCAGCTGATACTACAAGTCTGTTGCATTAAAAAAACTATGGACAGACCTTGATTCAAAGTTAGGTCTAATACTCTACCAGCAACAAACTTTCATTAACAATAACATGCCAACCTGTAACTACTTAATGATATCTGGACATAATTAATTTTGAAGGCGATTCTTGGCTGTGTAATTGTATGGCTGCAAGAAAAAAAAAAACAACTATTATTACAAATAGATAACTGTAGTATAATTAATTTTAGTAATTGGACTTTATAAGTGTTAGGATTAGAAGTCATTGAGTGGTTTTTCACAGAAAAATTAGTCTATTGAAATTACTGCAATCCATGTATGCATTTATATTATGATTTAATTTTAATTCAGTTTTTCTCTTATTACGGTTTTGAAACCTGTTTAAACCAACTGACATAATATGCCTCTGCTTCCACTGGAAACAATGGTCTGCCTATCTGAGTAAGGTAATTTTATTTATGTTACTGTACTGTGCCATATAGTATTTAGATGCAAATCAAGATCCAGTTGTGTATGGCCTTTTTTACTAATGCTGAGAAGCATTTTTATATAGTCATCATTATCAGTGTAAACAAGAGAGATACAAGGGAAGGGAAATAATGTAAAGTAAAATTATTTGCTCAGTTTGCTCGTGTATCATATAGAGTTATAAATTTGCCAGGTGCAAGGTCATGCTCCTGAGTCAGGGCGATCCCAAGCACAAGTATAGGCTGGGTAGAGAATGCATCAGGATCAACCCTGGGGAGAAAGACTTGGAGGTGTTTCAAAGCAAAAAGCTCAGTATGACCCGGCACTGTGCACTTGCATCCTAGAAAGCTGTCTCCTGGGCTGCATCCAAAGCAGTGTGGTCAGCAGGTCAAAGGAGTTATTCCGCCCCTCTACTCTGCTCTGATGAGATACCACATGGAGTACTGCATACATCTCTGGAACCCCCAACAAAAGAAGGATGTGGACCTGTTGGAATGCATCCAGAGGACAGCCACTAAGTTGATCAGAGGATTGGAGGACCTCTCCTACAAAGACTGGCTGAGAACTGGGGTTGTTCAGCCTGGAGAAGGCTCCAGGGAGACCTTATAGCACCTTCCAGTATCGAAAGGGGACTTAAAAGAAGGTTGGAGTGGGACTTTCCACCAGGCCATGTAGTGATATGCAAGGGGCCCTAAGCTGAAGCGAGGGTAACTTTAGATTAGATATAAGGAAGAAATTCTTTACTGTGAAGCTGGTGAGGCAGAGAAGTTGTGGATGCCCCATGGCTGGAAGTGTTCGAGGCCAGGTCAGATGGGGCTCTGAATAACCTGGTCTAGTGGAAGATGTCTCTGCCAATGGCAGGAGGGTTGGAAATTAATGATCTATAAGGTCCTTTCCAACCCAAACTGTTCTGTGACCATTATAGGAGAGACTACTGAAGCCTCAGCTCTGTAATCCGCTTCATTTTGTCTGCAGTAAAAATCTACAATCAGGGATTTCAATCAGTTTTAATACTTAGTTACTGTATCTAAATTAAGTAAGCCGTAGCGAAACATACAGCTTCAGGCAGAAACGTGGGTAAACTGTGCTTATCAACTTAGTGATGCACGTTCCTTGGTTGAAGTGAGTCCATCCTCTGCAGGACAGCAGCTACTCCTTGCGTGCTTACATATACACACCCTACAAACCATGTGGGCCCTATTATCTAGGCAGAGCTGAGCAAGATTGAGTTTTCCTTTGTTTTAGAGGTTGGAGAGAAGCCCTCTGCTGTTTGAATGTCGCTTTTACTGGCAATTGTACAGAATCCTGAGCACAGATCACTTCCTCTGTCAAATAATTCTTTTTCTCTTTAGAAGAGAAAGAAATATATGACCTTTACCATTTTTAGTGTTCAATTTTCCATGTTCATGTTTGCTGTTACCATGCAACTAATTAGTGTATTAAGTTCAAAAAAAATAAATGTTTAGCTTGTCCTTTAGTGGGTCATTTATGAATGAAGTAAAACCTATGCAGTGCTTGCATACTGGTGCTGTGCTCAGATGGAGAGAAATGGTTAAGTTCTACTAGGGGCATTTCTTGTGTTGCCCTAGTGCCTCTCTAGTGCTGCAATGTCCTGGAAGATTTCTCCAGGGTGACCTTAAGTGCACCTTCCCCATCAGCAATGCAGCTGTGAAGGAGGGTGCAGAAAAGAAGAGAGAGAATAATTGTGTACTTCCCCACAGTGACCAGGAACAATGAATGGAAGAGATGTTGTACTGAGTCACAGCTGAGTGTTACAATGTGTGTATGCTGCCTTGGTAAAAACAATGAAATGTCATTTTGTGTCCCTAGCTGTGCATGAGGCAAGTACTGCTTTGTTCTGGAACAATGATGTATCGATCTTGTGTAACTTTGGGTTCTTCAGCTGGCATCTCAAAGCAAAATGGAAATGCCTCTAGGAGCGATGTTGTGCATAATTAGAGGTAAAATGTATCTTGCTGAAATTTAAGTTGATACTCCAAACTCAGTGTTCTGTCTCCCTCTGTAGGGCTACCCTTTCTGCTAGGGGGGATGATTGTGTTCTAAGGTAGCTGCCTAAGGCTATATCTGGAGCGACCCAGAAGTGTTTCTAAATTTCCAGGCCAGAGGATGAATCCCAGCTGTGTCACAGGGTGTACTACGGAAAAATGTGGCTGCCCATGTTCCAGTATCCATACATGCAGGACTACACTGCTGGGTGAAGGCTACTTTGTCTTATGGGTAGGTCCACTGAGTGGGATGATAGGCAGCTGCAGTTAAATATACAAGGAAGTCCCAGCTTTCTGAAATGAGTCCAGGTGTTTCTCTGCCTTGTCTGTAGGGGAGGGTAATCCCCACTCCCTCTGACTCTACCAGGTGTGTCACATTAGTGGCTCTGATGCAGAGAGATGTTCCCAGAAGCAAATGCTGCAGACCAGAGGGTCATCATGTGATTCTTGTAGAAATCTGCCAGATGAGGGTTGTCTGTGGAAGGGAAATGCATGTCTTCAGAGCATGAATTTCTCCTTAGAAGATGTCTTAGTCTTGGCTGACAACATTTGAATATACTGATCCATCCCTCTGTCTATCTGAATATCCATATACTAGCCTTCTTTAATTTTAAGAGTTTCCTTTCCTGATTTTGATCATTCTACTCTACTCTGTTCTCAGGAGAAGCTTGGCCTCATGCATACGATGAAAACAGTAAGCAATGGATTGCCATGAAAGAGCCGTGTGGGGTAAGGGGGCTTGTGTTATAAGGCGCCTACCCAGGAGATGGCAGCCGAGAGATGGCTGAGTGGGCGGAGCGGGCCCTGGTCTGCACAGGTGCTGGCTGTGCTGGGAAGTACAGGCCCTTGCTTCGGCTGTTATTCGTGGAAGTGCCATTGTTGCTCTCAGGAACGAAGCCTTTAGATTGTTCAACTTTAAACTAGATTTTTGTCCTGTCAGCTCACTTTTCCCACAGCTTTTCAATTAATTTGTAGCTTCACAGAGTAGCACATTTATTTGCTCCTTCAAAAACACTGAAAGAACTGCTAAACCTCATTATTAACGAATTATCTATGAAAGCAGACAGTGCTGCCCTTTGCTCTTAAAATGCTCTGAAAAACTCAGCCATGAGCATTTCTATTAACTGTCCTGTGGAGGTGATGGAAGAGTTCAGAATAGTCTGATGACTATAAATGACCAACTTCTTTGATCACCCTAGGCCTTTTTTCTAAAAAACAAACAAAGCATAAAATTGACCTCATCAAGTGTTAGCATCCTGATGTATCTTTGCAGTTCTCTTTTAAATGTTCCATTTCAACTATTTTAAGAGGTAAAAATTTTAAAAACTGCTAGTATTAATCACTGCTAGCCTGTGATTCCATACAAATAATTCACCATAAATGAGAACAGAAAGGTTGACTTTAAAGATAGGACCCAAGTGCTCTGAGGCAATGAAAATGTACACTTAATTACCTTTAAAGGCAATAAAAAGTTGAGGCAGTTAGCTATGGGTTTTGAGAGGCATGTTCATACCTTCATTTTCTTTAGTGTGTAACTTGCAAGCTTTTGTTTTAACTCATTTTTGGATGTAAAGTGTAAAATACCTTGTGCTTTAACCCCAGTCAGCAATCCAACCCCACCCAGCCACTTGCTCACTCTGCCCCTTGTGGGATGGGACAGAGAATAAAAAGAGTAAAACAGAAATCTCATGGGTCGAGACAAAGGCAGTTTAATAAGGTAAGTAAAAACCACTCATGTAAGTAAAGCAAAACAAGGAATTGATTCACCACTTCCCATTGGCAGGCAGGTTCAGCTATCCCCATGAAAGCAGAGCTCTGTCATGTGTAACCATGGCTTAGGAAGACAAATGCCATCATTCTGAACACCCTGCCCTATCTTCTACTTCCCCCAGCTTTATATGCTGAGCATGACACCATATGGAATGGGATGGGATATCCCTGTGTCTCCTCTCAAATTTTTGTGCAGCCCCAGCC